TGATGATGATGATGATGATGATGATGATGATGGTGATGATGGTGATGATGATGATGATGATGATGATGATGATGATAATGATAACTACATGTAACCTTAAGACCTTCTTTGTTTGACCCATTTCCCTGATACAATACAGAGCTACACTAGTCTTATTCTAAGTTCGTTGGTGGCGAAACGTCGAGCCGATTTAATAAACCAAAGTTTAAACATTTTATATTTATTTAATGTCAGCAAATCTATCAAGACTCTCCCTATTTACTCTGCTTTTTAAATGATGATGATGATGATGATGATGATGATGATGATGATGATGATGATGATGATGATGATGATGATGATGATGATGATGATGATGACGATGAAGACGACGACAAAGCTGTGGTTGATAACCTTGGTAACATGCACATGGGATCAAATACTCAGCGCACACTGACAGTCGGACTGATCGGATTGAGCCAGGACAGGCAGATTTCCCTTCATTGATGAGGCAAAAGCGGCCATTTTGGTATAATAACGATCACATTCAACTAAATTCAAATGTGGCTTTTAAAATCAAATGGGTTTGTTTTTCAAAATGAAGGGCTGAATCGGTCGGATTGTGTCAAGATGGTAGCTTTTGCTCAATCCGTGAAGGAAAATCTGGCCGGCCCCGACTTAAACCCGATGACTCCAGTTGGCAGTGTATGCACTAGGTATACGATCACGCACGTAACATCTTAGAAGTGATCTCACCTGAGAAGTCCCTCCGGCTATCAACAAAACTCCCTCCACGACAGCGAACCTGATGGCCCGCTCCTTGGGGTCCGGCGTGATGTCTGTTATCATAGCAACCGACGCCAAGGATATGGTGAACATTGATCCACACAGGCCATCTACCAACGCCCCGAGTAAAGTGATGTTAATATCCAGATCGTGCTGGATCACCACAGCGAATATAACGAAGCGTACAAGCCCTCCAAACAGAGAGACTATTAACAAAGGCTTCCGACCAATGAAATCAGCGTATGAGCCGACGAAAAAGCAGATAAATATTGAGGGGATTCCTGAGGAGATGCTGAGGTTGAGCATAAAAGAGGAGACGTCTTTTTCAATTTCGTCTGCCGTTTCTTCTGGGACGTTTGTTGAGTTTCCCAAACATTTCGCCCCGACCGTTTCGTCATACGTGACGTTGTAGTCTTTCAAACCCACTCGCTCTGAGAAGTACTGAGTACCCAGAGGCACAAGCGAAATAAACGCTGTGATGTAACACATCAGCATTGCCAACAAGGATATCCACACGCGGGTCACGAAGGCTCTGGAAAGGGGTTCAGCCCTATCTTCAGTCTGTTGGTTCTTTCCGTCGTCCTTTGGTAGCTCAAAAGATTCCCCGGACAGGAAAGAAAAAGAGGAGTCCGATATGGAGGAGTAGAATCTGCGATTAAAGAATTCTGTGTCGGACAAACTATCGTCGTCAAACCTGGTGCCTCTAGAAGTTCCAGCACGGTTGTGGTTAGGTCTGACGTCGAAACTTCTTCTCCTGCTAGGGATAGCTCCATAACTCTGTGACGGGAGAGCTCCATAACTCTGTGACGGGAGAGCTCCGTTACTTTGCGACAGGAGATGCTGAGGAGTGGAATTACTCCTCATCAGTGGCGGGGGTTTTGGTATACTTCTTCCGGCATTGTCTTGGGCAACATTTCCATCACCCAACTCGGCCATTTTGAAATTCGAGCAGGAGTAAGGCTCGTTTTAAATTATTGCAAAAAGAATTAGGAAATTATTCGTCCTCTTGATTACTGGAAGCGAGTTACGGCGGTTACTTGTCGGGGTGGTACAAAGCATAACAGATCAGCTACCCCGTACAGCTTTAAGTATCCATGACGACTGCCCCGTACTGAATTAGCATCTAAGTTTATATTTTGGACTGTTAAAGAGCAGCTGAAGAGCCACACACGTTTCCTCTCCTTTATAATTCCCGTGGCCTCTTGGGTTACCTCTTTGTCAGCCAAGTGGTCATTTTCCGCCCGAGACTATCCAGTCAGGCCCCAGAGAAAAATAACCAAAGTTGTTGATTCTCTTCATTGTAGCCTCCAGGGTAAGCCGAAGGAATGTCTTGTCCTGCAATCAAAGAAAAAAACCTGAACATTGTAATCTACAGTCTTCATAATAGTATTGCTCTCTGAGTATTCACATTTGGAATTTGTTTAGTTTAGTTTTAGTAAGCGTCTTATGGCACCTGCAACACAATTAAGTCATAAAAGTGCCGAAGATAAGAGGTGGTATAAGAGAGTAACAAAAGAAGATGGAGAGATAAGACCTACAACACAAAAAGAAGATGGAGAGATAAGGCCTACAACACAAAAAGAAGATGGAGAGATAAGGCCTACAACACAAAAAGAAGATGGAAAGATAAGGTCTATAATCAAATGTTCTCATTTCAGCCTCATTAAAAAACGGTCGACACAGTGCTTGGTAATAATATTATTGGAAGGACACATTTCTGTTTCGGCAAGTGTTTTATGGCGCCCGCAATTGCGCATATGAGAAATGTTTGGTTACTTTGAAAGCTGTAGAGTCCTTGGAAGCTGCTAATTCATATATTTATGCTTTGGATCACTTTTTATCAATAAACTCCACGATTTAATAATATGGTTTCCCGTGGACATAATAGCCCCCCCCCCCTAAAAAAAAAGCAACCCAAAAACAACAACAACAAAAAAACATCAATAAGGATAGCCTAATGGGCAGAAAAATGTAGTTTCCTTGATTTTCATATTTTGACAAGCGGCTGATCTCACCACGACGTCTCGCATTCTGATATCCTAGACCGTGCACTGTCATGGCCAATACACACGACTCCCTATAAAAACTTGGCTGCGCTAGTGCGCATCATGGGCTCAAAAAACAGAACAAAGCAAAAACAATCCCGCCCCGCCCCCCCAAAAAAAATCCACAACAAAAAAACCAACAACATGAAGCTACCAACTAAACACCAATCTAGCTATAGTGGTGTGTGCCAGCGACCTTTCTCTCCTTGCCTCTAGATCTATTTGGTTCCAAAATTGAGCGAAATGAAATGGCGCAATCCCTTGTGAACTGAACTAACATCACTGTACATAGTATTGGATGATTATAATCATAAATCTGCACTGTGGCCACACCTCCGTGATGACAAAATCACTATAATGACCAGGCTCTCAGACTTTGGGCGCCACCCCCTCTCCTTACACACAACCCTGGGCCTACCCCTACACCCACACTCGACCGCCGACATACAAGCCCCCCCCACCCCCCACATACACCCCAAACGCACACACGTACCCGATTCTGGCTAGAAGAAAAACATGTCCAAGAGCGTAGGGTTTTAAGTGTAGACCTACTAATAATGAACAGAGTAGAAAAGTCCAGTTTTCTCAAGCCCCATTATCGTTTGCAAATAAGTCACTACCCCAAGCGACCTCAAACTTTGTGTGAGGAAAGCCAAGAATTGGAACTTTTACAAGAGGGTACACACATTATATGGTATCCCGTTATGTATGAGTGCAGCAATGTGTTCAGTTTACTGTGTCCGTATATTTGTATATTGTACCCTAATTTCGTTAATCTTACCCTCCCCTCCCCCTCCTCCGTAAAATATACTATTTAACCACATCTATGTGCAATTTTAAATTATAAAACAAAATCGCCGTCATCCCTAAAAATTAGATATATGTATGGTCTTTACAAACTAACATTACAGGAATGGCGAAGCTGAATATACCCAACCTTTGTAATTTGTATGTGTTTGTATGATATAATAATGTACCAATGCAACCGCGCCACTAACCCAAGCGAGCTCAAACCTTTCGTAAGGGAAGTCAAAAATTGTAACGTTTGCAAGACGGTACACATACGGTATCCCTTTAAATAGATTATGAGTGCAACAATATGTTCAGTTTACTCAGTACGTAGATCTATATATATGTAATGTGTACGTGCGCGTTGTTCGTTCCCTAATTTCTTTAAATACTGCCCTCCCCCCCCACCCCACATTTCCTTCTTCAGTGAATAATACATTTTCAAAAACCGCATACCCCTTAAAAATCAGATAGGTACGAGTATGGTCTTTAGAAACTAACGTTACAGGAACGATGAAGCTGAATAATAATTATTCCCAACCTTTGTAATTTCTATGTCTTTGTATAATACTAGCTGGGCCCCCTTTCGATGAAAGGAATAATACGTGCATTAACATCAACTGAATTTGACAAAGGAGTCCAGAAATAGCGAATATGGGCATCAAACGAAAGGACCACAGTCGAATTTAGCACCAAGTAAAAAAAAGAAAACATGAGGTTAGATCTATACGGGTCGCACACTTAAAATTGTGCCCAGTATTGCGCCACAATGCGCGATAGTATCGAACGGAAGTACGACTTGAAAACTTTAATAAACAAACCTAGCGGATATTCTAAAATTACAGACACAGAAGCGTCGGCCTTCAAAAGCGAGCGGCGAAATAAAGAAATTTAGCTTTGTGCAGCAAAACTGTCTCAAAACTGAAAAAAACGAAGGGCGCCATGATCTGGAGAATATTTTAAAGAATCTTTGGGTGAAAACCGCATGTCGATCGATGCAGCCATTAAAAAGCCTTTTGAATAGCAAAATTCGACCACCACAAATAGATAATAGATAACATATCAATCATCAATGCAACCACGACGTTTCCCCAAGCGAGCTCAAATTTATTTGTAAGGGAAGCCAACAATTTTAACTTTTGCAAGATGGTACACATTTGGCATGACAAAGCTGAATGTACCCAACCTTTTGCATTTTGCAAGTCTTCTATTATCTAGATTCTATTTGTGGTGGCCGAATTTTGCTATTCAAAAGGCTTTTTAATGGCAGCATCGATCGACATGCAGTTTTCGCCAAAAGATTCTTTAAAACATTCTCCAGATCATGGCGCCCTTGGTTTTTTCAGTTTTGAGACAGTTTTGCTACAAAAAACTAAATTTCTTTATTTCGCCGACCGCTTTTGTAGGCCGACGCTGCTGTCTCTGTAATTTTAGAAAATCCGGAAGTGATATTTCGCGAGGCGCATTTTGTTTTGAGAGTATAGATATAGACCTTCTGATTTTTAGCATCTCTCAAGATTTATTTCCCCATTCCAATAGAGTGTAAAGTAGGCCAATGACTTTTAGTTGATACTAAAGCACCGTTCATCCCTTTCATCGAAAGGGGGCCCAGCTAGTTTTTTAAAATTCTGATAAAAACAATTAAAGTTGCATTTTCTTGTCTGTTTCTCTAAATAGTTGCATTTCAAACAAGGGTGGTCCAAAAAGATAGTAAATTTCACCCCCTCCCCCAACCTCTATTCTAGAATTACGTTAAAAGTGTCTTAAGTGAATGACATCACAGAGACCCAATGTGGCACTGCAAAGATTAGCGACTCGGATGTGCCCAAAAGGTCAAAAAAATCCAAATTGAGGGCTCGGGTTTATTTTGTATTCCATTAAGTAAAGATAAACAATAAATATTATGGATCCAATTTAAAATGTTACTGTATGTGTAGTGACACTAATCAACTATTTTTTTACCAAAGTCCATATCCTATATATATATATATATATATATATATATATATATATATATATATTATAGGCACTTCAGTGAACGCGCTAACTACAGCGTGATTCGGCTTCGGAAAGTCCAATTGAGTTTTGTTTCCGGACATGACGTCTCATCACGACAGTGGGTTCAAACTGCCCATATTTTTGTTTAATTTAGGGGACCAACATTCAAGTCCGATGCATGTCTTTAAAGACCTTTGGCTGGCCTTTAAAACGCTTTTTTCCAGGTCGATGTGCGACTAATGAGTCTCGAGATATTTCAAGTTGAAAAATAGACTATTTTTAACCATTGATTTTTGATCAATTTTCTCGTCATATATTTTTCAAACTACCCTTTTTGGTAAACTATTCTTTGGTCTCCCAGAAATCGTTTAAGTGGTTATCGTAGAAGTCTTACCTTGGCTAGTGAAGTTTTACCCTTTTATCAACCAAATCCGCGAAAACCTAGCTGAACCCTTCCAAAGTGACATCGCGCCGAGCCGTGACGTCACACAGTTTGCGCCTTGAGCTTTTGGCTCCCTCTGTTCATTGTTTGAAATGTACTAGACAGGAAAATATACCACTGAGTGATTTTTAAACTTCAGTTTGAAAAGTTAATCAATTTTGGTAATGTTTTATAATCACTGACCTTATAGTGTGCCTTAGTTCATTAGATAGTATAAAGAAAACGAGACTTTTTAGACCGAAGTATTTCCTTTCCACTGAGCTCCCCCCTCCCTACTTTTTCCCCTGCCCAAAGCCTTTCATTGCGTAGGGCCTAAATCTAGTATGAAAAGTCCGGACTCGTGTTGTTAACACAGTCAAAATTAAATTGGGACGCCTATTAAAGTATCTGATGTAATTATTTGGTTGATAAAGTTTCTTAGGGCTATTGTTAGGTTAGTACTGATCCAGATTTTCTTTCTTTTCTGTCGCATGAACAAGAACGAAAAATGCTATGTACTGGAATGTGGGATCCGCTGCATGCCCCCGCCCCTCCCCCCCCCCCTCTCTCTCTCTCTCTCTCTCTCTCTCTCTCTCTGTATGTGTGTGTGTGTGTGTGTGTGTGTGTGTGTGTGTGTGTGTGTGTGTGTGTGTGTGTGTGTGTGTGTGTGTGTGTGTGTGTGTGTGTGTGTGTGTGTGTGTGGTTTCGTATGTTCCCTCTCCCCTCCTATTTTCATAACCGTACCTCTCTTTTCTTCTCCATCGCACATTACCTGCTCTTCAACTTCATGTACATTTTCTCTATTATATATACTTCTTGTCGTCTAATTTCTCTTATAATCGCCACCGCCGCCACCCTTCCACGACTCACGGTATTAGTAGTGTAAGCCTATTACTCTTTCTCACTGATGAAACAACCCTGCAGAAAGATGCCAGTTGCAACAAAGTGAGAACTTTACTTTTTCCTTCCTCTTGTATCCTTAGGATGTCGATGGGGGGTGCAGGTTTCGGCGTCTGTGATACATATGTTAATAGTTATATTGTTCCTGGACCTTTTTAACCCCATCCAGTCAGGTCATTCTT